ATTTACATCATGCATGTACTCGTGAAACCAGGTTGGATAGCTATCATGAGAGTGAGTAAATGATGAGAGAACTTTAATTTCTGGGTTCATTTTTATCCCTTTAATGTGTAAAACGTTTACAATTAGTATACTGTATATATGCACATTGAAATACTGTAGCATAAAACTTACATTTATGTTCCTGTCACAGTCCAACGAAACCAATAACAGCTCCTTTGGCTGGCTTCTGTGATGATGAAGAAGTAGAAATATCGACAGATCCAAAACTCCACACAGAGAACAAACACAGGGAGTGTGTCATAGTCCTCCACACATGTCGAAGCTCTCCCAGTGTTCTGGCCTGCTCCAGCACTCCTCTGACAGACAGAAGAACTCCACGACCAGACCCCAACAGAGAGATGTACTATGGGAAAGTGGAGGACTCATGTTACTACACATCTGAGCTGGAGAGTGAATAGTTCCTGCTGCTCCTAATGTCCAAATCATCATCTACATATGACTTAAAACAAGATTAGCCAGACACCCATGTAGTCATACTGTTTTAGTTTTTTTTAATAACTTGTACAATAACAAAATATTTATGCATGTAATTTATGTAATCACATTTTACATTAGGCTGTTAAGTATGTTTATGTCACAAGGTCTGGCCATGACTTTGTCAAAAGCATATGATAATAGAATCGTTCCACTCTCAGGGAAATAAGGCTGGGAAAAGTTTAAACATTAGGTGATGAAATACTTGTGACCTTGACTCATGACACCATGAAGACCAAAGGACACTGAAAGAGGAACTGCCTGGTGTGAAGTTTTTATATTTGTCTGTGATGCTCCTTCAAAGGAGATCCTTTACATTTGAGACAGCTCAATAATTTATATGTTTTAGATGACTTAAATGTAGTATTTGAAATTGTATTACTTTAATGTGTAAAAGTGATAATTGTTGAGCCAGTTCTAGATATTTTTAAGTCATGTAAAAAATGCATGTTGCAATACTGAACAGTGAATCATCTCGGCCACAAAATATAAGTACTCACACATGCTAGATTTTCCTGTCATGGTGGGGACTTTCCATTTATGAGGCTCCATTAGTGCCAAAATGGAGTCAACTGCTTTGTGCTATACATTTGTCCATGTCTTCAGTCAGTGCCTATGTGTTAAGATTAACAAAGAACATACTCATCAACATCTATAAATGTATGTCCTCTTGTTCCGTCATCCTCCTTGCCAAGCTTGTTCTGTCCTTCATAGAAGACTGTTTCCAAAAATGGTGTTCCATTTGTGCCAAAAAGTGTAGACTGCTTTGTACAATACATTTGTTTATGACTACGGTTATTGCTGTTGTTTCATTTGTGTTATCTGCGGTTTCATTTGTGTTATCTGCTTATGTCGTCCTCCCTGTCATGTGTTCAGCTTTGTTTTATGCTATAAGTTACTGCTCTCAGTGAACACCTTGCATTGCATTTTAGAGTTATCCAGGTAAACAAACACAATTAGATTTTTTTCCACTAATGAGCTTTCAAAATCTTTCTAAAACTCTGAATATTATGACAAAGGACGAAGATAAAAGGACTATACTGTAGATTCGCTCACGTTTAGAAATATAAATGCATCTAAAAGTTTGAGAAAACTCATCATTGAACATATTTATAGGTGCTGTTTGTTTACCTGGATATCTGCAAAATGGTCTGCAGAACATTCACTGAGAGCAGTAACTCATAAAGCATAAAATGCTGAACACATGATAGAAAGCTGAACACATGACAGGGAAGACAACAGACAATAACAGTAGACATAGATATGTGGTTGATAGTTTTTTGGCACAAATTAAATGCCATATCCATCGACTTCTGCTTTTATACTGAGCTAATGGTATTTTCTGTCCTCTAACCCTAAACATGAACCTCACAAAGCTTTCTGCATTTTTACAAGCTCATTCAGGCATATTTTTATGAATGGGACAGGCCACCCAAAAAAATAAATAAATAAATTAAAATCATTTACCCATGTTTATATGATCCACAGAAGAAAATCGTACAGTTTTGGAACAACATAAGGCTGAATAAATGATGACAGAATTTTCATTTTTGTGCAAACTATCCTTTTAAACTGTTTGGACCAATGGCTTGCATTGCATTGTAGGTTCCTTTCCTTTTCTGGGGTAATTTGATTCCTACAATATGCAAAACCTGACACACACACAAACACACACACACACACACAGTCTGGGCAGCTATCCTTGTGGGGACTCTCCATAGGCGTAATGGTTTTTCTACTGTACAGACCCTATATTCTATTGCCCTACACCAACCCTACCCCTAAACCTACCCCTCACAGGAAACTTTCTGCATTTTTAGATTTTCAAAAAACTTAATTCTGTATGATTTATAAGCTTTTGTACCCGTGGGGATTTAGGTCCCCACCGTGACACGAGTCCCCATGAGTCTGTGTGTAGTCAGGTTTAAGTCCCCACCAGGATATATAAACCAGTACACACACACACACACACACACACACACACACA